GGGGTCTCACCAACAGGAACTATAAGTGATGTTTCTTCATTCATTACTGTATGGATTCTGCATCCCAGCCCTGTCAACTAGGTAGGTATTCCTATCCTTTTAGCAATGAGAAAATGGAAGCTCAAAGAGATCAACTTGGCCTAGTGAACTAGAAATAACAGGATGAAGGATATACTATGGGAAAAGTGAAAGTTCAGCTTTACTACCTCTTCTCTCATCCGGGTTAGCCTTACATACAGGCCAAGGAAACTACACAGCAAAATATGAGAGATTCAGGAGAGGCTACTTGCCCTCCAAATATTTTTTTAAATGCTTGCCTCAACCCAGCTGTTCCTGAAGTTCCTTTAGCTTTTTAATTCCTTGAGATTCACGGAAACATTTTAAAGTGGACAGCATCCAGGAAAAAAACAACAACAACAACACACTGAATTGCTAACATGTAATCATACATTAAATGTTTATTAAGCACCATTTATTAAACAAATAGAATGATATAACAGCTGCTTATATTTGCTTAGCACTTTAGCTTTGCACAGCCCCATTGTAACCTGAAAAATTACATAAAGCTGAGATTATGATCTTCATTTCATAGATGATGAAATTATGGCTCAAATAATTTGAATGACTCATCCAAGGTGACACACACTTGAGTCCCATTGTCAGATTCAAGGCTCAAACTTAGATGTTCTGGTTTTCAATTCTCTGTTCTTTCCATTATATTACATTAACTCAAGAGGTTTATAGGTGGGCTATACAAGGCAAGCATGCATAAAGAATTAACAGAAAATTCACAATAGTGTCCATAATGTCAAGAAATGTTAAAGATGCTAACTGATACGGACAGTAATTATGGAACACAACACCAGGAAGATCACTTTCTCTGTTGAAAGTCTCAGAAATATGTGAAACATAAGCCTGGCCCCTGGAAAGAAGATTAAAAAAAAAAAGGACAACCTTGGAGTGGTATTTCAGTATAGAGGCCAGAGACAATAAAAGTCCAAAAGTAAAAAAGTGTAAGAAAGTGCAAGTATTGTCCAGAGAGAGAAGAAAGAGACTTATTTACCTAGAGAAGTCTAGAATGTAGCTCAATAATATAAGCGAAGACCTTGGGCTCTGTCCCAAGCACCACACACACACACACACACACACACACACAGAGAGAGAGAGAGAGAGAGAGAGAGAGAGAGAGAGTAACAAAACAAGCAAACTCAAAAACCTAAAGAAGACACATTTGTATTGAGAAAGAATAGAAGAATGATTAAAAAACAAACAAACAAAAAAAAAAAAACCTTCTTGAATTTCTGCCTAAAGTATTTTGACTTATAGACAAAAAAAAAAAAAAAAAAAAAAAAAAATCAAAGGTTTCTAAAAGAGTGAAACTTTGAGAAAGAGAAGTGTTGGACAGATTGGTCTGACAATGTTCATTTGTGTGGAAGGGGCCTGGAGCTAAATACTAGACAGAAACCTATGACATTCAGTCAGGGAGAAGATGAAAAGAGTCAGTACAACAATGGTAGCAGTGGGACCATAAAAGAAGGCCAGTTACAACTGGCAAAAAGAGCACTGTCAGAACTTGGAGAGATAGGAAGAGTGTGGAGTTTCCCAGAAGCTTTAGAGCCTAGGTAATTTAAGAAATATGTCTTGAATAGAAATTAGCAAGATGAGTAGGAGAACTGGTTCTGGCAGTTTCATTTTTTTAATGTTATGGGTTAGAAGCAACAATGGAAGATCTAAATGAACCTATACAGCAGGCAATTGGGATTTAGAGGGACAAAGGGCTGGCCTAGCACCAAGTTGGCATGGTAGAATGAAAGGAGACACAGGAAACCAGTCCACGGTCTAGTTTCTACATGCCACTATGCAGAAAGTCACAGGCATGACATCTCACTGGGTCCGTCTCTTCAACTCAAAAATGGAGGGGAACCCAAGCCCTGTATGAGCTCTGAGGTATTCTTAAAGACTAGAAGTTAACTAAATCATAGTCACCTGCTATTTGTTCTCTCCAAGAGGAAATCAACAATCTGATAAGAGAGGGGATTTAAAAAAAAAAAAAAAAAAAAAAAAAAAAACACATGTTGAGAGTCTGACAAAAAGATGACAGCAAAGAGAGAAGTAATCAAGGACAAGCAGGAGGAAAGAGATTCTAAATCTAGGGAATGCAATAAGGAAATAAAGTATCACAATAAATGGGTTAAATAAGTCAAATACAACCAATGATAACATACGTAATAAATAAATATCCTATTTCAATAGAAGTACACCACCAAAATAGTAGTTGAAGAATAATGCAAACAGTAAAGACAAGAGAAAGTGTTCAATGCCATAAGTAAGCAAAAAAGTGAAATTAACAAATTGAATGTTTACCATACAGAAAGATTTCCTATAAAGTCTAATGCTGGAACTGCAGTGAGACTAGGATCGCCATATATCATTGTGACAGTAAAAATTTATGCAGTCATTTTGAAAAATCACAATCCATAAAAATGTTCATGCTCTTTGGTCTGGTAATCTTATTCCTGAGAACTTGTACTAGAGATAGAATTGCAAAGAAGAAAAAGGCCACGAATAGGAAGATATTCAAAGCACAGAAAAATTGAGCTACCTAAACATCCAATAATCTGGGGGTAGCCTAATAAGATATAATCTACCAATGGAAGTAATTTTATATAGCTATTGAAATAATAAATGTGGAAGACTGCATCAAAATGGAGAAAGGATACAGGGTCTCACTATGTAGCCTAGGCTGACTTTGAACTAATGACCCTCTTGCCTCTACTACCAACTCTAAATACCCTAAAAAACAAACTTCCATACACTGTGGTTAGAGTTCTATAATACAGGGATACAAACTTAGAAAACATGAAGTATGGAAAATGAAAATATGGGTTTGAAATAGGTGAATCTTTTCTCTCCACATTTCCTTCAGTGTTATGACAGTGACGTTTTTAAATGGTATTTTGTACTTTTAAAAAACTATAAAAGACATGCAATAGAGTCAATTGAAGTAGAGAGGTCAAAAAGGGATAAAAGTAGGAAAAATATTGTTAAAGTTCTTGCCAAAGACGTTATTTGTGTTCTAAGAGCAGGAGAGTGGGAGGAAATCCAATTTGGAGAGTTTGAAACAGTTCTGTGAGTAAGTGGGGTGTATAACACTCTTCCAGGAAATGCAGTGCTGAAATGAATAGAGACTAACAGAATGGAGGCAAGATGAGACAGCAAGGTTAGGGCATGAGTGCCCATGTCTTTTTTTTTTTTTTAAGATATAAAATCAGTGTAAAGTATAAAATCAATGATGGCAATAACTGACAAAGATGAAAAGACAGAGAAAAAGGAACTAGGTCCTTCATTCAGGGACCAGGAGGAAGGAAGGGATAAAGACAAAATGTGACATCTAAGCAGATTGTGAATGAAACATAGAGAAGTTGAGGTATTAACCAAGCCTGGTGGAATATGCCTTTAATCCCAGCACTTGAGAGGCAAAAAGGTAGGTGGATCTGTGGTTCAAGTCCATCCAGGTCTCTGTAGCTAGCTCTAGGCTAGATAGAGGTACATAGACAGATCCTGAGGGTGGGGAGATAAAGTAACAAACTATTAAGTCCAAGAAGTTAGTCTTGACTAAACAGCTTGGAGTTATGGGGCCTGAAAATGGAGGCACTTGAATGAGTTATAATGAAGAGAATAATCTTACCGTGTGGAGCTGACAGGTAAGAGAGGTGGCAGGCAAAGGGACTGTGGCCATAAGAGTGGGAACCTGGCAAGAATCCTAAAGGTCAGTTAATTTACTCCTAGTAGAACTCTTGTGTTCCAAGGGTGAGAGATCCCTTTAAAGAAAGGAAAGGAGGGCAGAGAGGCATTAAGATTGTTTTCTCTGCAGCCTAGTCCCTCCCTTTCCTACTCTCCAGAGACAGAGAGAATACTTAAAGGCCAATAAGAATTTGGTATCAGTAGACGAGTAAGAGATCAGAGAGGTCAGCAAAGGCTGGGGCCTGACTCCAAAGACCAGTAGGCTCTAAGGTGATTTCATAGGGAAAGAGGCTGAAAATAGATTTCCCTTCTCATGAAAGCCACCCAGAAACTCAGACTTCTTGAGCCCAGGATTTAGTATCCCACTCCATACACCCACCAGATACTCCAAGCCCATTGAGTGTTGTGGCAAGAGGATTGAACGGGTGGAAAACTGAGTGCCCCACCCCGGCCTTGAAATCCTACAGCCTGATTCAGAACGAGCTGGTGACAGGTTTATCCTTTATCTAACTAGAGCTAGAGAAAGGGGAGAGACCATTGAAGAGCTAGTTCTGGGCGTCTATTCCTGTCACCGCCCTATCCTTTGCACAAACCTGTTCTGCCCATCTGTTCTTGAACTTGGAGCCATGAACTCTAGAGGTCTTCTTCCTACTCAGTCAGAGCTGCCCACTCTTCCTTTCATTAAACATATGGGAGCTATCAAGTATGGTCTCCACAGTCGCAGAGGTGGGTCTAGTCTCTTGTTTCCAAAGTTGCTACCACCCTAGACTCCGCCTCCTGAGGCTCCACAGGGTCATCACTCAAGAGTACTACTCTACCTCATGGATGCTCAGCAGTTCAACAGCTCGAGGCTTCTAGCTGCTTGTGGGGCCCTGGCAAGCAGGTTCAGAGGCCTTGTACCCTATTTCAGCATCTTAGCAGGTAAGACTAGCTTGTCTTTGAGAGGGAGCCAGGAAGTGGGTGTGGATGCTCCATATAGTAATATGGCATCTGTGATATGCTAGCACATTCTGGCTTGCTCCATTATGTACAACAGGCCAGTTTTGAGATTGCTCCACCCTTCACCCCTCTAGTCAGATTGTCTACTCTGGTTGGAGAATTGCATGCTGTGGAAGGAACTGGGGGAAGCAGAGAGGATGAAGAGCACTGAGGAAGCCTTGCCAGGTCTAGAAACAGGATCAGTGGCTCCAGGAAGAGACATAAAAAGAGAAAGAAGTAGAGGCAGAGGAGTAACTGCTCCAACCTTTGACTAAAAAGATGGCAGCTGATGCCCTTATCAAGTGTCACTAATGGGCTCACTTCCCTCTGTCCTGCAGTTAGCCCCCTTCCTTTCATACCCAGTGCCCAGGGTACTGTCTCCCCCATAGGTAGGGAAGATGATGTCCTGGTGGGTGTCTGCCCACCTGATGCTGCTTTCCTCATGTAGGGTCACCAAGGCCAGGGAGGAGGCAGTTGTTCGGGGCTGGGGCCCGCTACCTCTGCATAGCTGCTGCAGCTGGCTTCGATACTTGTCCCCAGTGAACAGATAGAGTACTGGATCCAGACAGCTATTAGCACTAGCCAGGGGCCGGGTCACTTTGTAGACCACGTTGACAATGTTCAGCACCCGGCAGTCAGCTTTCAACAGCCTTGCCAGGTAATAAACCGTGCGGGTGATGTGGAAAGGCACAAAACAGACAGCGAAGACAGTCAGCACAACAGCAATGGTGCGGAGGGAACGGAGCCGAGATGATGACTGTCCAGCTCCCGGCAAAGGTCGGTATAGTCGCCGGGCCATGAGTCCATAGCAGACCAGGGTTACCAAGAAGGGCAAGCCAAAGAGCAGCACCATAACTGCCGAACTGAAGTGCACATAGTGGTCAAACTCCTCAGGCCGAGTGGTGTCATGACACAGAGTGGTGGTTCCATTGGGGCTAGTTGTTACAAAGAACAGGTTGGGCACGAGGCAGCCAGCTACCACCAACCAAACAGCTAGACAGAGAAGTCTTGCAAATCGAGGCTGGCCCCAGCGTAGGGCCCGCAGTGGGTGGCAGATGCCCAGGTAGCGGTGCACACTGATGCAGGTGAGGAAAAGGACACTGCAGTAGAGGTTCCAGTAGAAGAGAAAGCGGACAAACTTGCAGAAGCCAGTGCCAAAGGGCCAGTGGTTTCTGGCAGCATAGTAGTAGACGAGGGTGGGCAGTGACAGCACATACAAGGTGTCTGACAATGCCAAATGGAACATGTAAGTGGCTGTTGCATCCCAGGGTCGAAGGCGGAAGAGGAACAGCCAGAGGGTTGGAGCATTGAGGGCTAGGCCCAGCACAAAGACAACCCCGTAGCTCACAGGCAACAAGATGAACTTGAACTCCTCATTAAACTTGCAACCACCATCTCCAGAATTTTGACTGGGGCCTAGAGAGGTGAATAGCAAGGATTCTGAACTGGTCATGGCCCCCTAGAGGTAGAAAGGACAGAAGTGAGTGTCTGATTTCCATATTTTCCCACTCCTGACAAACATACAACAAAAGACGAAAAGCACCAAGGAGAGCTAGGAGGAGCAAATCCAAGGGCAACTCAGGCCTGCCGGCCCCTACCCCAGTTCCCTTAGCCCAGCCCCTACCCTGCTCCCTTAGCCCAGCCCCTACCCTGCTCCCTTAGCCCAGCCCCTACCCTGCTCCCTTAGCCAAGCTCCCTTGGCCCAGCTCCTACCCAGCTCCCTGAGTCCAGCCCAGGAACTAATGGGCATCAGGCACTGCTGGGATTCAGTAGGCCGTCAATGGTGTTCTGCAGCTTCCTCGCCTGCAGAGCCTGGCTCGCTGCAGAGGGTGGAGACTCACCAGCACCATCTAAAGGGAAGATACCCAGGCTCAAAATGGCATCTAACTCACCACCACAGCTCTGTCCTGGCAATAAGGGCCTCTCTCCCTCGCCTTTCACCCTGGTCCTAGTTCTCTGTACTCTTACATCCCTCTGAAGCCGCACACTTCACACCTGCTTCCAGCCCAGGAGCACCACCACCACCCTTGCCTAGGAAACTTAGCAAGACTCCTACCCAGTGCCCTTGAAGCTGAGCCCAGCTGACTCTGTCACCCTTCCTCTTGGCAGCCAGAGGGCATATTCTTGGGGGTGGGACTCTGGGTGGCGCCTATCCCTCCTCCTGTCCCATCCCAGCAGATTGCCAGAGCTAGAAAAACCCTCGGAGGTTATCTAGTCCAACCCACTCAGCACACAGATTGGGAAACTGGGACCCAGTGAGATTACTATTTAACAGCTTCAAAATGATTGTGTACACAAGGAGACATCCAAGTTTACAGATAAAGAGCCAGGTCACTGAAGATAATTAAATTACAGGAAGATCATATAAGTTTATGGGTGTAGAAATATGGGAAATGAATTTTAACATGGACAACAGCAAGTCAACACACTGAAGGACTTCTGAAAATGTAAACTACTGATAACCACCTTTACTCTATATGCATTTAATTATAGCAAATGTTTGTCTAGGCCTTACTCTATGTTAGGCACTGCTCTAAGGACTTTATACCTATTGATGATTCCACAGTCTCCCTATCAGATAGGTTCTATTACTGCCCCTGCTTTACTGATAAGAAAATTAAAGTACAGATAGTTTGTGTATTTTGATAATTTGAACCCAAACAAGCCTGCCATGGACCAAACTCTAACATCCATAATTTAATGAGTATGATAACTTTTTAAAACTAGTTTATTTAAACTTATTTTATGTGCATTGGTGTGAAGGTGTCAGATCTCCTGGAACTGGAGTTACAGACAGTTGTGAGCTGCCATGTGGGTGCTGGGAATTAGACCCAGGACCTCTGGAAGAGCAGCTAGTGCTCTTAACCACTGAGCCATCTCTACAGCCCGAGTATGGTTGATCCTCCAAAGTACTGGATCAGTTCTGGGAAAGGGTCAGAAAACATTTCTCAGGAGCTTTCTGTTCTAAATCCTGGTAGTTCACTAGAAGGGAACAAAATAGAGTAAAACCTGTCAGCTTGGGCTGGAGAGATGACTCAGTGGTTAAGAGTGCTGACTGCTCTTCCAGAGGATCTGGATTAAATTCCAGGTAGACACATGGTGGCTTACAGCTCTCTGTAAATCTAGTTCCAGAAGACCCAGGACTCTCATTCAGACATACATAAAGGCAAAACACCAATGCACATAAAATTTAGAAAAACAAAACAATTTAAATCTATCAACTTAATAGGAGTTAGATAATATTGGAGGTAATAAATTAATAAAATATAAAGAGTATGATCATTCTTATAGAGAAAAATTAAGGATATAATGAAGAATGTTGAATAAAGACTGGGTACTTTGCAGAAGGGAAACAGAATATGAGGTTAGAGCATTTGAAAGGGACCAGATATTGAAGGCCCCTGTGGGCCCTTGTGAGCCAGTGTAAGGCCACAGAGGCTTTGGAGAGAAGTGCCATGGTCTGACCTGCTCTCCAGAGAGCTCTGTGCTGAGACTAGATAGCAGGGTTAGTAGCACAGGAAGAGACTACTGATAATGTGGATGGTGGTCATGTGGATCAGAGTGTCAAAGGTTACAAGAAGTCATCATATTCTGGGTATGATGTGAACATAGGGACAAAATTCACTGATGTGGGCCATGAGAGGAAAAGAGACATCAAGAGTGCCTCCAAGCCAGGCCTGGTTACAATCATACAGGCCTGTGACGTCAGTAGTTGGGATTGGGAGGATTGCTCCAAGTTCAAGGACAGCCTGTGTCACATACTAAGATTCTGTCAAAAAAGAATTAATTCCAGGTTTCTTGCCTGAACATCTAGAAAAAGGGAACTCCTATAAACAGCCCCAGGGAAGGCTATAAGAAAGCACATTTGGGGAAAGAAGGGAAGTTCATTTTCCAGCATATATGTTTTAAGATGCCTATGACACATGTGAGAACAGATGGCCAGGAAGCAGTTCATATCTCCCTGTGGATGCTAGCCAATAATCTTCCCTTACACATCCCACCCCTTCCTACACAGCACTTTGTCTCTCTCCATCACTCTAGAAGAAACTAGTCTTAATACAGTAGAGAAGGCATGCAGAACAAGTTTCCACTATTAAAAGCCTAATGACAGAGAACAGTTGACAGCAGGTATGGGTCTGAGGTATCAGGAAATTAATATGACTTCATAAGTCTCTGGCATACCAGGTAAATTGGGTCTGGAAGATGCTGTGGATAAGGTGTGCAGTACTTGTTGGGAGGGATAAGCAGGCTGGAGCAGAATCTTTAAATGGAGCTTGGAAGCAATGAAGACTCAGAACCTGATCCTCAGGTCCCAAGAATGTGACCTAACTGCATCCTGGAAGGGAGAGGAGGGGGTAAGCCTTCAAAAGAGACTCTAGAATCCAGGAGCTGGATCTCTTGGAAGGCCTACAACTCTGGATATGGGAAGAACCTGAAGACCCTGTCCTGTTTCAGGGTTAAATCAGGCATAACCTGAGTCCTGGCCTACTGACTGCTGGAATGTCATATAAAAAAGCCTAAGTGTTTGGAGCTAGGTAAGCTTGTATTCAAATCCTTGTTCTGTTTATTGTCTATATGACCCTGGGCAACTACTTCTGACAATTTCCTCAACAGTGAAATGGGAATAGTAACACCAAACTATAGGTATCAGAATAGGAACTGATCAGTAGCTGTACAAAACCTTGTAAGTCCTAAAACGCTGCAAGTCTGTAATATTTTCCTTCACATTATTCTGTTCCCAGGAATGAATTTGACCTCTTTAGAAGACGTGAAGTATGTCTTGAGACTTGCTACAGACTCTAGTCATGGAGAAGTGCCACCTTAGAAAAGATTTGGCATGAACCAGCTTCCTGCTCTGCTGCTTCAAGCTGGCTTAACTCAAGGGGTTCCCCTAATTTAATCTGCCAGGCTTCACCTGGCAAGTCTAAGCAGGTTTCTGCTTGTTCCTGGACACAGCTGCTGCAGCAGCAGCTGCTGTCACTGCCGCCCAGTGGCTACTTTAGAAAAAGACCTCCCCCAACACCCCCAGTGGAAGCCCCAGCTTCTACCACCCTCCCAGGGGGAACAAAGCAGCATAGATCAGACTGATAGTCTCTGAACTGCATCTTCACTTTGCTCTCTGTGGCTTGCATTGCTTGGTTTCTGCTCTTTCCTCTCCTGACCCCTTTCCCCATCTCCTTTTTATCATTCTTCCACCAAATGTGGCTCTTCCCCAAAGCAGGCTCCCCTCCCTTCTACCACCCTTCTTTCTCTCCTCTTCCCCTTCTCCACCACCTCTTTCTCACTTTGCCCTCTCCAGGTTCCCTCAGGAAATTACCCTCATGATGTTAACCGCCATTTAGATGGTATTGGTGATTTTCTTTTCTTTTCTTTTCTTTTCTTTTGGGACAAGATCTTGCTCTGTAGCCCAGGTTTGCTTTAAACCTGTGATGTGCCACTCATCCTCCTTGGTGCTGTTACTACAATATGCACCACCACACCTGCAAGATGTCATCAGTGCTTCTAATGACAAAGAGATTCCAGCATAGCCCTCTATCTCTCTCTGCCTCTCTCTGCCTCTCTCTCTGTCTCTGTCTCTCTCTCTCTCTCTCTCTCCTTCCCCTCTCCTTCTCAAATTTCTGTCTCAGCTGGAGAGAAATTTCAGTACTTGAGCACTTGTTGCTCCTACAGAGGACCTAAGTTTGAGTCCCAGCACCCACATGTGCTCACAACCACCTGTAATTCCAGCTCCAAAGGATCTGACGATCTTGTCCAACCTTTGTGGGCACCTACACTCAGGAGCACGCACATGCATGCGTAAACACACACGTACACACACACACACACACACACACACACACAAATACACAATTAAAAATAAATACTTAAAATACTTACTTTGCATGTTCTCATGGCATTTGATTTTCAATAGAAATTGTGGCACATATCACAGACTTCCTATAATTACATTCATTTGTGTTTTTACCCATCTCCTGATCCTCTAATCACTAAACTTGATCCAGAGCGCCTGTCCTCATAGCCTTTATATAAAGTTATGATCTAGAAAATAGAGGTTTCCAAATGAGGTGTGTGGTTGTCCAACAATGCCTTCCAATCCAGACTTAAGAAAAAAAAGTACCCTGCATATAGTAACTTTTCAAAGAATGTTGACTGTGTGAATAAATGAATGAAAATTATGGTTTTTTGTTTTTGTTTTATATATTTATTATTTTTTCTTATTTTACATATCGATCCCAGTTCCCTCTCCCACCGTCCTTCTCATTCCCCCCCACCCCTCCCATCCCATCCCCCCCACTCCACATGGAGGGTGGTGCCTTCCAGGAGGGATCATCAAAATCTGTCAAGTCATTTCGAGTAGGGTCTGGGCCCTCCCTCCTGCCTCTAGGCAAAGGGAGTATCCTTCCATGGGGAATGTGCTCCCAAAGTCTGTTTTTTTTTTTTAATTGAATGGTTTGTACATCTATAACCTTCCCCTGTATAGGTAGTTTGTTGTAGGTTACTTCCACACGAGTATTTGATATCAATTCAGAACTTGTCTTAATACATAATTAAGTGTTTCCATGCCATTATTGGTGATAACACGTCCATTCTAGTACTCCATGTTTTCTCAGTCCTCTCCTTCCTGGTCCCTCACATGCAATATTCATAAAAAGTATTGATGGTAATTTCTCTGAAATGTCTACTGTTTACTTGGGGACTAGAGTAGAAAATGGGGGAATGATGTTTTCTCATCTCCTTAAATTAGAATGGAGGGAGGAAGGAAGAAAGAAGGAGAGGAAAGGAAGGAGGGAGAAAAGGGAGAAAGAAGGAATGAGGAAGGAAGGAAGGAAAGAAGGGAAGAGGGAATGAGGGAGGGAATTAATGGAAGGTAACAATATAGTTGAAAAGCGTAGGCAGACGGTCCTAAGGATGAATTACAGCTTCATAACCTATCAGTTGTGTGACTGTGAACAGGCCTCCCTGGACCTCCATTCCCTCAGGTGTGCTGTCCGGATTCTAGGATCTGAACTGTGGTGAGGAGAAAGTCAGACAACACACATAAGAGCTCAGCATAGTGGCTGGCTGGTGCCATCTGCATCGTTCTTAGGTGGTGTATTTTGAGGCTATATTCAGAGTGTTTTCCTTACAAAGTGAAAAAATGAGGTCACCTTCTGAAAATTAAACCTTGATGGACAGAAACAGTAACTGGAACCCTGGGTAATTCAAACTTACCTGTGAAATCACATGAACGTGACTGGCTCCATACAGTTAAACTCTCATTAGCTTTGCGTATGTATCTTCTCTTTAGTGTGCCTTTAAAAAATTGGGTGGGGGGTGGCAGGCTTTTAAAAAATGGTCTCACCCTGTATCCCAGGTTGGCCTATAACTCACTAAGTAGCCCAGGCTGGTCTTGAAGTCAGCAGTCCTCCTACTCCAGCCTCCAAAGTGCTAGGATTTCAGGCATGTGACACCACACCCAGCTTAGTGTGCCCTTCTTGTCTTTCTAAATGAGATCATGTAGGTAGTTCCCAGTAGCTGATCCATCTCTCACCTTTCCATCCTCCCCCACTGAGCCAATGCCCTTATTCACATCCCACTCAAATCTGGTGATTTGGAAAGGATGTAAGAGCCAGAGAAAGATGGGGGAGCAGTATGGAACACTGAGTTCCAGGCCCGGCATGGCTGGTACAGTCCTAGATTTACTGCAGCTATAATTACCTGTACAAGATCTAAACAGAATTGGACTCATCTACACCCCCATTGTGGAAGGCGGAGGAGCTCATGAGGCCCCACACCTCCCCGAGGATTTATGTGTAGCTAATGATTGATGGTATAGAGGGAGAGACATTTTCTTCAATGGTGTTGCTGCTGGTAAGGTGCCCTGGCTCCTGTAAACAAAGTCTAACCCATGCTCCTGTAAATAACCCCAATCTCACTGGGAGAAAACAGACATGATAACTAAAGGGGACTGGTTGAGAAGAGGGTAAGGGACAAGAAAGACTGATGAGGGTGAACACAGTCAAAATGTATTATGTTCATGTCTGGAAATGTCATAATGAAACCTGTTATGTATAATTAACACATACTAATAAAATATTTTTAAAATCTATTGATTTGCTTTCAGTTACAATAACAGAACATTTTAGCTAACTTTAGAAAAGGAAATGTATATTAGCTTGCACTTAAGTCCAGGAACAGATTCAGCAGTTCAGTAATGTACACATCTAGATTCTTTCCATCTTTCTGATCTGCAACCCTCAGCATGCTGTTAGGAATTCTCATGGTCACAAGAGACTCTGGCAGTTCGGGCTTCGCATCCAAACTCAGCACTCTTCAATGAGAAGAGAGGAAGGCCTCTCTTCCTGTGCATTTATTTTTATCATTTTTCATCATTCAGGAAACCTTTTTCAGAATCTCCCCTGCATATTTCCTCTCACATCTCAGTGGCCTGAATTTCATCCTGCCTAGAAAACCCAGTCACTTTCAAAGAGATGAAACAACCCTAACTGATTTGTTGAGAAAAGCACTGGAAGAGGGTAGATACCTCTAAAATTGGTAACTCTGTCTACAAAGTTGGGGAGAGGGCTACTGAGTTGGTGAGCAATCCTGTGTTCTACAACCCTTACTGAAAAAGCCACCCCTTCCTCACACAGTGATTCTAACTGGAGTATGCAGAATGGGAGTGGATAAGGACACAACAATATTGCTCCCAACAGTCTATCAGATGTATCCCTTTGCCCTGCATCCTTGGAAAATGCAGATACTCCATATAAAATAAAAAGATGATGATAGTTCTCTTTGGGAGATTGCTAATATGGGGACAAGGGAATTTTCAGGGCTGTGGATATACACAGGGTATATAGATATTACAACTAATTATTACAGACTTGACTTACGGTAATGCACAATAGTTTTCTACAAATCCAGACCTCAGAAGTCTGAAATCAGCATTAATGGACTAAAATTAAAACATCAGCAGGGCTTCGCTTAAACTGTGGAGGGAGTCTGTGGAGAGAAAGCTTTTCCTTGTGTTTTCAGCTGCATTGTGCAGCTCTGGCTTCTTCCTCTGTCTTCAATGCCAACAGTGATAGCGTCCTGCTTCAGTCTTCATATTGTTGTCTCTACAATCAAATCTAGTCTTTGTTTGCTTTTTAGACAGGCTCTCACTGTGTAGCTGCGGCTCGTCTGGCACTCATTATTGTAACTAGGCTGGCCTTGAATTCAACGATCAATCTGCTTCTGCTTCCCAAAAGCTGGGATTAAAGATGTGTATCATCTCACCCAGCTCGCTTCTCTTTCATAGTAAACTAGGTAACCCCGGTAAATCAGATAACCCAGAATAATCTCTCTATTTTAAGAATCCTAATCATGCACT